TCAGTAACAGTACAAAAAAATATGTACACTTTTTATTTGTATTCAGCCTTTACAAACAAGTAATTTGAAACAAACTATTAAATAAATAAAACTCTCAGACAAAGCTTATTGGTGTGTATGTGTGTGTGTGTGTGTGTGTGTGTGTGTGTGTGTGTGTGTGTGTGTGTGTGTGTGAGAGACTGAAACACTGCTCCATTCATCTTCAACACTGAGGCTCTGTTTACCTTGACGACTGGTCGCCATGGAAACGAGAGTGTGTGGCGATCAGAGAGTGAGCATGTTACAGTAGTGATGAGACAGCAGGTACACACACACACACACACACACACACACACACACACACACACACACACACACATTCGTCTGCTTTGCCTTTGTGTGATTTGAATCCCAGCAGCTGCATGAATTACAGTGAATGAAAGACTGCTGATCCTCCAACACTTACACACACACACACACACACACACATACATAGCGTAGACATGCAGACACACACACACACACATACATAGCGTAGACACGCAGGCAGACACACACACACACACACACACACACACACACACACACACAAGAAGCACACACACACACACACATCAACACATTCTGTCTACAAAGCAACATAGTTTACAGTGAAAGGCATTCTCTGAGTCAGCTGTGTGTGTTGTATAATGAGCTGTGTGTGTGTGTGTGTGTGTTTGTGTGTGTGTGTGCAGCTCCTGGAGCAGCAGCGTGCAGTGGAGCGTATGGTGGAGCTGCTGCAGCTGTACAGTGAGCAGGACGAGGCGTACGGAGAGCTGGTGGAGGCCACCACTGAACTCTACCATTACCTGCTGCAGCCCTTCAGAGACATGCGGGAGCTGGCCATGCTGCGCAGACAGCAGATCAAGGTGGACACACACACACACACACACACACACACACACACACACACACTACAGAAGAGTTTACTAGATAACACACACACACACACACACACACACTACAGAAGAGTTTACTAGATAACACACACACACACACACACACACACACACACACACACACACTCACAGTCTTAATTTCATCCATCTTCTGCATGTTATGAAATCTCTTGTTTTGTGTGTGTGTGTGTGTGTTTTTTCTGAACTGTGAGGATATTGCACACTTGTCTCCTGCACTCTCAGAAATAAAGGTGTGTGAGCTGTCTTAGGGCTGGAACCTTTCTTAAAGATACACACTAGTACCTGAAGGGTTCATGTTAACACCTGAAACTGGAAGAGGAACACTTTTGTACTTTTTATGTGCTAATATGTACCTTTGAGGTATTAATATAATCTTTGAGTATAAATGTGTACATATTGGAAAGGGACCACCGCAGTGGCAGCTCGCGTACCTTTATTTCTGTAAGAGTGTACAGGCGGTGTTGTCGGACCCCCGGCCTGCCCCTGATCCCCCTCAGGAGCCGCAGCTCTACTGTCTGCAGACGCACTCTGCGCTGTAAATAACCAGGAGTAGCTTTACCTGAAAAACCCACTCTGAAAAGGCCAGTAAATCTTCGAAGCTTTGCCCAGTAAGAGATGAACCAAAATGATCAGTACATTTAATTAGAGATGTGAAGTGAAGTTTACCTGGAGAATTCAGAGTAGGTGTTATTAACTTTTAGATTCAATTCAGCTTTATTTGTACAGCGCTTTTACAATGTAGATTGTGTCAAAGCAGCTTCACATAAATGGTCATAGTAACTGGATCAGGGTGGTTCAGTTTTTAGTGTATAAGTTCAGCTCAGTTTAGCTCAGTTCAGTGTGGTTTAAAGTCATTACTGAGAGTCCAAACACTGAAGAGCAAATTCATCGATGTGTAGCTCTACCGATCCTGAACCTTGCAAGCCAGTGGCGACAGAGGAGAGTGAAGAAAAAAAAACCTTGAGAGAAACCAGACTCAGTTCTGTTTAGACCATTTTAATTTCTCCGATGGCTAAGTCTTGTGCAGAGCTGCAGTCTCAGCAGTGGAGGGTGCAGGCCCGGCGCCAGGAAGTCAAAACTGAGGGGGCACTTTAAATCCATAGGGGGGCACTAGACCTGGCGACTCATTTTGGTCTCTTGGTTCTTTCATTTAGGCTATTTATTCACATTTATTATTACTTTGCATTACTGCCTAAGTTACTGAACTAAGGCAGTAATATAGGCTACGTTTTAATAGTAATAACAATATGCA